ACTGAGATATGAACTTTCAAAAATGCACTTTTTGCTTCCTGCCATATTACTTCCTGTCGGTGGGCATGGCAAAACATGACATCATTGGTGGCACTGTCGTCTAACTACCAGAATTGGCAGTTAAATGATGGCTTCTAACTACCCGTGCTGTGGTCTCTACTATATAAACTTGTGGCGGTGCCTTTGATACACCCACACACTGTAGCACAAATACATGTAGACATTACAGTACATCATGCAGGTATGTAATATGTAACAAAATAGGCCATTTGAAAGCACATTTTTCGTTATGAACTTCAAAATATAAATGAAGATGCAATTACCTATTAAAATATCAACTTTAGAATAAAAAGTAGAAGCAGCTGGAACTTTTTCAAATCAATAGCACTGTTGTTCGATGGTCTTAACTTTGCACAGCACCAATTCTTGTCCAAAAAGTATCTGACAGAACAAAGTAATGATGAAAGGAGCTGCTGCAGGTCAGAATCCTTCAAAAAAGATTGGAGTTAAAAAGAGCTAGTGGTCTTAGCCGAGAAATGGAGCAAATTTCCAAAAGGGAGAACAGCATAGATATTAGAGTACACAGGGATTGGAAACAGGAAAATGCTAGTTGATAGTACCGTAAATAGTTTCTCTAAATACTCGTATGTAATATTAAAATGGCTGAAAATTGAAAAAGGTAAGCAAACTTCTAAGGTGGTTTTTTGTTGCATAAAGTCTCATTTTGTATAGGTAACCCTTCAATAATGTTTAGAGACATTCTTCCTGTTGGCCCAAGCAGTCTGCCATAGCAATGTATCTGTTTGCAGTTTAAATTCAGTGTTTTATGAATTAGCAATCATTATTGATCACATTTACTACATTTAGTTCTATTATATGTTTTATACAACCTATTGAATAGAAATGGTTTTGGCGACCTCTGGTGTGTTCTAAGCAATACAGTGGTGTGATAGCTAATGTCACAGGCCCTTCGGTTTTTATGTTAAATGTACAAAACAAACCTCTCAAACTAATGAGTAAATCTATTGTTGCAACCGTATTTCCAAACGAAACATAGTGGGCGACCTCCACATTATGAATCTCTATTGAGTGGTTGAATAAGTTACTGTCTTCTGTCTAACACTACTGAGATAAGGGTACAAAAAACAAAATGTCATTCTAAGCATTCTAATTCCAGAGCAAATATTCAGTGCAAATGATGATGCTAGCAACATAAAAATTAGTCTGGGGATAGATGATAGTCTCTGCTTCCTTTGATATAAATAATGACGTATAATGACACCACTGCTGGAATGACAGGTCTCACAAAGACAGCTCTTGCTCAAAGACAGCCTCCGTTGCTAGGCGTTGCCAGATGCAAATGTCAACTAGCAACTAGCATCCGTATCCTAGCGATGTATACGGAGATGCCCCGTTTCCAATCCCTCTGTACTCTAATATTTATGAGAACAGCTGGAAGTCAGACCACGCCTACCGTTGCCATAGTTACCTAACAATGTCATCTATATCACCATCAAGGAGAACCTGCTCGAGGTTTTTCTGCCCAGTTTGCTATACTTTCTCTTCTATTCACTTCACTAAGATCATGAAGCACGTCCACCACGTCCATTCATTTCACAGTAACTTCAGTGTTGTCTGCGGAATTTCTGGATGCCCAAGAATATACATTAATTTCCTGTCCTACAAAAAACACATTTACAGAAGTCATAGGCATGAGTGCCACTTTGGCTTAGAGTGGCAAATAGCAACCATGCAGAGTGATGAATTCGCCATGCTTCAACCACTAGAGGACTCAGATGAAGAAGGCGACCTTGACACAATAACGGCCACGGCTGAACAACAACAAAGATATCACTCTAACACCTGTGAATCATCATGCAGCTCTCATGCTACTGCATTTGAAGCAGAAATATAAACTGTGTCAAACTGCTCTAAATGCTGTGACAGAAGAGTTTACATCGCTACTACAGTACAAATTGTCAGAAGTAGAAGAAAGTATCCTAAAAATAGCAGATGTTTCAAAAACAAGTGCAGTAAGAGCAGCCTTTTATTTGCCTACACTGATAGACTCTTTTTACAGCCTTCATGGAAAATATCAGCAAGAAGTTTATTTCTCAAGAGTCTTTGGTTTACAGGTATGGATACATCGAACCATACATGTACATGTACATGTATAATATAATTATGCTATAGTACATGTCCATGTACGTACGCTAATACATGCAAAACTTTTTAAAATTAAATAAATTAATACTAACATTACATAATTATATACAGTATACATATAAGTGTGAATTGACAAAATAAATATAGTATATGGAACTATATGTGTATATAGTATGCAGTATTAATGTACATGTAGTTTAATAAACACGTAATATGTTAATTATGTGCATCATGTTTCACATTATTAGAAGCCAATGGAAAGGCATCTAGGATTTCTAAGCAGGGATGGCAACCTTCTTATGACATATCTCTGTTAAAATCCTTAAAATTTTTGTTATCAAAAGAAGTCATTAGAGATGAAGTAATCATTTCACAATAGTGTGTATTTTCATTAATTTCAGGTGTTACGGAATCATCAACGTTCAGATTGTTTCCTTGGTAACTACTGTGATAGTACCGTTTATAAATCACACCCCCTTTTAGCCAATACTCACCTGTTTTACAATTGATCCTTTATTATGATGATGTAGAAGTCGGCAACCCACTTGGGTCAAGAGCCAAAAAACATAAACTAGGTAAAAATAGTAAAAATTAGTGATAAATAGATAGATTGCTAACAATAATTGTTGAAATATGAGCATCTGTACGTACATGTATATGCAGATGGGAGAGTTTATTAATTTACTTATCTAGTTGATACTGTACACAGGTATTCACATGTACATGCATTATATCTATTCATTTTGTTGTATAATTGTTACTACTTCTGGTGATTGTTATCATAAAAACATGTATGTACTCTATGTACAGTGTACACATGTACACCTACATAATTACATGTACAGTATGTACATCAGGTACACTAATAATGCTAATGCTAGTCACCAGGCTATGCCCTATACAGAATAACCTATTTACACATTCATGTACATGTATACTTACTGATACATAATTCTAGCTTTGTTCTACTTCATGATTGGAAACCTGTCTCCTAAGTATCGTTCTTCACTTTTAAACATTCATCTCCTGTGCATCACAAGGTCCCAAACTCTTCAAGAATATGGTGCCAAAACTGTCCTTGAACCAGTAATGAAGGATATTAATTACCTAGAAGAGGTGAGTCACAGAACTAAAGCAAGCATTATTGGAATCTACATGTACATGTATTTGTCCTAAAATTTGAATTTATAATACATAGTTAAATTATACAACACAATAATAACTGGCATGGTTACACGTCTACGTTGAATGTGCTGTATGCATGAATAATTGTATACATACTATGCAAATACATATTGTAAACACATAAATGATTATACATGAACTTGAATGCTCTTACATGTCATAATTATGCGTATAGGTAGGAATATCAGTCTTAGTTGATGGAGAAGAAGTCTGCTGTAAACGTACAATATCTGCTGTATCTGGTGACAATTTAGCAAGCCAATACCTTGGAGGATACAAATCTTTAGCATCAGCTCATCGCAAATGTCGTTGCTGCTTTGCCGTCAAGGAAGATATGCAAACTAAGGTAAGAAGGTGTAATATAGCAAATAACTATACTAACAATAATAGTTTTTTTCCCAAAATTCCAAGCCACGAAATCGTACATCTCATGCACAACACATTGCATCACTTTCAAAGAACACAGCTTTACAACAGCATATATCAAGCACATATGGAATAAATTAAGACAGTATTCTTCACCAATCATTATACTTTCATGTATCAGAGGGTCTCACACCAGATATCATGCACGATGTTTTAGAAGGCTCCTTGCAGTACGAGATGAAAGAAATGTTTAAAATATTCATATCAAACAAAATTATAAGCCTCTCTGATCTCAACCATGCCATACAGTCATTTCCTTATGGACCGACTGATATAAAAAATAAACCATCACATATCAGCACAAACGATGAAAAGTAATGACCACAACATTAAACAAACAGGTTAGTTTCATTTGTATCATAATACACATTTATAATTATATTGAAAAGCTTCTCAATGTTGGTGTCTTGGGAGATTGCTACCATTAATGATTGCCAATACTATTCCTAGTTAGCTACTAGTTCTAGTTCTAGTTATAGTTCTATAGCTAGAAAATTGCTATTTTAGTTATAGTTCTAGTTCTTCGAACTAGAACTAGCTAAAAATAATGGAACAAAATGACTTTTTAGTTCTAGTTCCAAAGAACTAGAACAACACTAGCCCCAATAATAGTAATTGAAATAAAAGAAATCCATTGTAATAGTAATAATAATAAGAAATAGACAGTCAGTAATATTAGAAATTACAATATAATGTGTTGATTACATGCATGCTGCACTTGACAGTTAGCGGAAATCGTTAAGCATCAATTAGTCTGTGCCACTATCAGGAGGAACTTTGTGGCACACCCGATTCAAATGACTCTAGGCTAGGCAAGGGTCTGTTAACAAGACTAGTCCAAGACAAATTATTTTTAGGAGCTGTTTTGTAATTCTATTGTTTACAGGTACATGCATCGCTATGCACCCCACTAGACAAGCACCTCCAAGAGAATTTTATGTCTTTACTTGAGCAATTTGACTATAAGTCAACTACAAATAACCATGGTATGTAGGACTAAAGTTATTAACATGTAGCCAAAATTGAATAAGATGAGTATGGAGACAATAGCAAAAACAACTACATAACTTCTTGATGGCACTTGTGACAGTCTTAGTACATGATAAAAACTATTTGGAGGTTAGCAATTTATGAAAATGAATGTACATGTATTTGCACTAAGAGGACCATGTTATTACTGTATTGAAACTCTTACTTCATCTTTAAGCTTCATCTTTTCAGCAGGTGATGTCTCTGCTGTCATACTGAGTAACACTGAAAATAGTTGATATGTAGCTGACAGGACCACGAACAACGTTAATAGGTGACTGATCGTGACTCCTATCATCACACATACATGTAGGTAACTGCAGCAATTATCATTTAACTCACCACTTATCTCAACACAGTAGCTCCGATTCCGAGCCGTGTCCTTAAATTATTGTGAGGCCGAGGCCATGCTGATCGAGTGCCGACTGCTGAGTGCCAGTGAGTGGCGTGAGTGAGTGTGCTCAGTGCTGTCCCTGTGACTGATAAGCAATTACTTATGTGCATAACTTTGGCTCTTTGCACCTGGATGGCCACACCCAAGACCATCCCACCCACACCGTACTACTTCTATTTAAATATCATTTGTAAATTTTGAATAATCATGGTTTCTATAGACCTTTCCCACTACTGTACGTTTAGCAATGAATATCATTAATGAGCCGCCATTTTGTGCGATTGATGTACAGTGATGGATGGGCTAAAAGCACTATTTCTTTATTTTCTCCAAGATAACTGCGAAAGCAAAGACCAAATTGCAGTATGATAGCTAAAATTATACAACAAATGTGCAATGAGCATTTCTGTATGAACCAGAGCTTGCATTTATAAGGAAAATGGGAAAAGTCACTTTTTGCCCATTTGTCTCTGTAAATCTATCCCACAATATGGCGGCTCGTTAATGATATTCATTGCTAAACGCTGCATTGGTGGGAAAGGTCTATATAGATTTGCAGCTCTATTATCCATGCTGTTACTCATGCTAAAGATCAGGACAATTTTATTACCTATATTGTTGAAAGCCCATCCTTGTTATTTGGTAGCACAAACCCAATACATCGATTGGTTGAAATGTCATATTCAACCTTTTTAATCACTCTTGTTGTGTCTTCCGAAATGCTAACAATGAAAGGAGCCTTGTGGCTTTGGAAATGATCAACAAGAGCATCAAATTTGAAATCTCCTCTAATTGCTGTGTATGAAGAATGGAATGTGTATTGCACAGATCTCCAGGATGGTATACATTAACTCATAAGCCACTGAGCCACAATATATAAAGAGGAGGGAGGCTAACTTCTTCTTCCATCTTTGCTTAGCGACCTTTCGGAAGTTGTTTTGTGCATTTGCTCTGTGACTTTAAAGAATTTGAGTGTAATTGTTTTCTTTGATTAAATGAGCTGATGGTTCTTGCAGTGAGTTCAAAATTTGGACTAACTTATCATTATCTTTCATAAGAAGAGACAGTTTATCAATAACAGGAAAGTAATCAGTCATTGTGGAACAACATGCTGCTGCTGATAAATAACTTTCTCTTCTTTCGTGCCTCAGTATAAACCTGGCTTTGTGAAGGTGAAGCAGTAGCTGTGTGGTTGGCATTGCTGGTGTTGTTGGTGTTAGTGTTGTTAGTGGTGTTAATGAAGTCACAGCTAAAATAGAGGGAGCCAGTGTGGGAGGTGTTGACAAAGCAGGCAATGATGAGGTTCCAGATGATTTGATAAGGTCATCTTTGTTATGATCAGCAACCATTGTTGAAATAAGGGAAGAAGATTGGGTGTGTTTTTTTACTGCCATAATAGCAGTGAGAGGAGAAACAGGGATTTGTTAATATAATGATATTGGATCAGGAGATTCATTAACATTGAATAGTGTTTCACTAAAGGAAGAGGTAGGTTGAACAATAAATATCACTTCGTTATGAAGGGAGAAATAAAGAATGTAAACTATCTTGAGTATCCTGTTTCTTTATTCTCTGTTTGCAATTTTTGTAGTGCTTGGACCATTTGGCGATAGACCACTGATTGGTACAGTAGACCCTCGGTTATCCAGACCCCTTTGGTCTGGCACCCTTCTGGATAATTGAAAATCCGGATAATTGAAAAGGAAGCCACACCTCACATAACCCGGTTAACCCCACCTTTAGCCACGCCTACTACAACAAACAGCTGTTTTGCACCTTACAGGCTTACAAGTTTGGGAATGGCTGGTAGCTCTTGTAATGATGCTATTTTTTTTGTACAGCAGTGTAATAAAAGGACGTCATGTTTATAAAACTATTTGGAATCCTATTATAGGGGATTGTAATGATGTTCATATTGAACCAAGCAACCGTTATAATCCATTTGCTGTCTGTATTAAAAAAGATAGACAAGTCATAGTACATGTACCAAAAAGTATAAGAATGACTTTTTACAACTTTCTGGCAGCAGGAGGAATAATAACCTGTGAAGTAACAGGTCACAGAAGACATGAGGATGGATTGGTGGTGCCATGTTTTTACAAATTTACAGGACAAGAGAGTTTCATTTTACTGGCAAGAAACACAATTTCAAAGAATTGATATACTATATGTATACATGTACTGTATATATATTGTGTTGCACTATAAATATGCATGCATGTTTTTATCTATACACATGTATGCATGCTACTGTCATGGTCTTTTAAAATATGATGTTATGTGAGTTTGTTTAAAGTTGTTAATTCTCTTTTTAACTGCTAAAGCATGTAGCTGCTTAAGAATCGCTGTG